TCACCAGATTGACCTTGGAAACATTCTGGCCATTATCGTGCTCTTGGTCATGGGGATATTAGGGGGTCTGGCATGCTTAGGGTCCTATGCTAGGAATCACTTGAGAAATTCATATTAACCTTTGCATTTCTTGTGCATTTAATCCACTGCTGCTGGGTATGACATGTACATGGTGCCATGTCTACTGTGAGTTTACTCTATTTATTGTGTTTACGCAAAATGACTACAAGAGCTTGGTCACCTAGGGGTCAATTACTAGTCTACAGTACCTCACCTGTTTTCTCTTTTCCGTAGGTTTTAATGTTTTTTTTTTTTTTTTTTTTTTTTTTTTGCACATTGCTATTATTATTATGATGACATTTTATTATCATAATGTCAAAAATGATTATAACTATATTGATATTAATAGGATTAGAAAATTATAAAAAAATTCCCCAAATATTCAAGGATTGGAGAAATCAGGGAGATCATGTAGTACTAATTGACTCATAGGTAACTGAGCACTTGCAAAGCCAACAGTGTGTAAATATGATTCAAGTACCTGGTGCCAGTGGGTTAATCTCTTGTTTATTTAGTGTGTGAGAAGGGTCCAGTTGACTGCTTTTGTAGGATGATGATGGATGATATAAAATTTCTTAGTTGGCTGTAGATCAGCTTTGTGAATATTAATTTTATTGTCATACTATTGCTGTCAAGTATTTCTTAAATGAAATTCTTGAATTTTATGTTTTGAGTTCACTCTCATGGATGCATACCTAGTATTTATTCTTCTAAAGGAGATATAGTTTTTATTCCAGTAGGATATTTGAAATGATCTAAGAGTGAGAATGAGTTTTAAATTCACTCTTGTATTTGATAAGTATATTGTTGGTGTTATATTGTTCTCGGAAAGAATACAATGTGACCCAGTTTCTCTAAGCTCTTCTTTCTGTTGTTTTGCATTTCTCTTAGTTCTTCCAGTGTTCTCATCTATACTGACCCAAGTCTAGTCTTCATAATTATGGGAGATGTATCTTGTTCTGGAAATTTTATGGAATTGTTTGTATGTTATAGATATTATTTCCTGTTAGTAAAATTTGAAGCATGAAAGATCATACCTGTGCACCATGTCTGTCAGAAGTGTTGTCTTAATAATGCTTGTAAACTTGTCAAAGAGTTTTCCAAAGATTACATCATTCCTTTGTTTTTTGTGTCTTCTTGATGGAATTCCACATGGTCTTTGACATTGTATTTATGCTTCATGAAGAAATTTTGTGCATTATCCCTAAGAAAACTACAATTAATATATGAAATACTGAAGAGTGATCTATAACCTATTGGGTCATAGATTTGTGATATATTATCTTTTTTACAATTTATAATAAAATTTTCAGTAGCTGACTGTTACTTTTCTTGAATATCCTTTATTATAAGTTAACCAATTGGATCTGGGTGCCTTAAACTTTGGCAAGGCTGTCTAGGGATCCAAGGACTAAGCATTAAGCTTATTGGAATGGCCACTTTGTCAGATGTGTGGCTTGTAGGACAGATGCACATGAATACTAGGGTACAGTGACAAAACTTCCTCCCCTTAGCAATATATTCTGTGTTTCTGCATAAGCATTTTAATTTTTTTTTTTTTTTTTTTTTTTTGCCATTTTCTGATGTCTATATTTGTCATGTGATTTGCTTTAACCAGATGGTAATAGAATGTTTCCCTTGTATAACTCCATATCATCTGTACATAGTCTACAGTTGCCACTCAAATGAGCCTTGAGTGGCAACTTTTGGTCCACTTGCAGGTAGCAAGGCACTTAGATCCATTGGGTTAATGTTTATTTACTCTCAAACTTCTTGTTAGAATGCATTAGTTTCTAACTCAAAGAATGATACTATTGTGATATTGCTTGTTATAAAGAAAGCCTTCCAAGCTTCAAAATAAAAGTAGTTATATCTTAATGCTGGTAATATGAAAAACTTCGTGTAGAAATGTAACTAACAGTCATATCCTTACTTGCATACTTTTAAGCTTAGTTTCTGTTTAGGTCTCACTATGTAAAGTAACTTTAATAAGAAATAAGATATGTAAAGTAACTTCAATAAGAAATAAGATATGTTCAGATTATTAAGTATTTGTGTTATGATAAAATGGTATACAACAGTAAAAAATATGAACTTAATTTTGAAAACAAGAGTCGTATATAGGTTTAGGTATTTCAACAGGATATAGAGGCTGTATAACTTTTACACATGAAAAACAGAGCTTTCTTGTATTACAAAAAATGTACTGCAAGGTGATTTAGAGAAAGTCATCCGGGCATTATAGAGTCATGTACTCTAAGTAAAGTGAGGATAATATTCAGGGTAGAACAGAAGGCAAAGAGACAAAGAAAGAAAATAAAACAAAGAAAGAGAAATCCCATATAGAAAGAATGGATATATATAAAGGAATTTTAAAAGCAAGAAATAAACCAGGTAAAAAAAGAAAAAGAATAAACAGTAATACCCCAAAAAAAGGTCTCCTTGATATATCACATCAAATGATCTCAAAAAAATTAACAAAAGAATTATTGATTAGAATATGACATTTATTATTTGATAAATTAATAGACCCTCAGGAATTTGGGACAGTTGTAAGAGTGAGAAAGGATGAAATAATGTAAACAGAACAAAGCTGAGAAAGGCAAGTAATTTTTTTAAAGAATTTAAAGCGATCACTAAGACCTTAGCAAAAATATGTATAACTTAATATTTGAAGATAATGTTGTAGTTATACTTAGATGATAGTAAAGAGAATCATACAATAATGATAGATGAAGAGTTGATCATATATAAAGTAACAAGACTTACAGTGATTAGTTAATGAAATGATGATAATAGTAAAAGCTTGATAAATGCTGTAGGCAGTAATTCAGTAGAGATAATGGGTCAGTGGTAGTAATGGCAAGGCAATTAAGTAAGTACAATACAGTGTCTGTTTGTCTGTCTGTCTCTGTCTGTGTGTCTGTCTGAGCCTGTCTATTTGTATGTCCGTCTGCCAGTCTGTCTGTTTGCCCATCTGTTTGTCTGTCTCTCTCTATCTGTCTCTCGTTCATTTACCTGTGTCTCTCTGTCTATTTATCTCCGTCTATCTCAGTCTGTCTCTGTTTGTTCTTTCTATATGCATCAGTCTTTCTATATGCCCATATATCTGTCTGTCTGTCTGTCTGTCTGTCAGTGAGTGAGTGAATGAGAGTGAGTGAGTGAATGTGAGTGAGTGAGTGAGTGAGTGAGTGAGTGAGTGAGTGAGTGAGTGAGTGAGTGAGTGAGTGAGTGAGTGAATGAGTGCGTGAGTGAGTCTGTCTACCTCTCTCTCTCTTTCTCTATGTCTCTCTAGCTGTTTGTCTGTCTTTGTGTCTGTCTGACTGTCTATTTGTCTGTGCACATCTGTCTCTGTCTGTCTGTGTCTGTTTCTTTTTGTTGCTCTCTGGTTGTCTTTCTGTCTGTCTTCCTGTCTTACAGACAGAGAGACAGACACATACAGAGACAGAAACAGACACATTCTCTCCCCTCTCTCTCTGTCTCTCTATTCCTCCCACCCTCCTTTCCCTTTTCCTCTCCTTTTACCTCATCTCTCTCTCTCTCTCTCTCTCTCTCTCTCTCTCTCTCTCTCTCTCTCTCACTGAATCGTAGCCTAAATAAAAATCCCTTACCTTTTTGTACGATCTAAAAGTCATATGAAAGGCATTCTTTGTAATAGAAAATAAAAAAGAAAACTGAATGCCTTTCCCACCCTATCTCAAACATAAATCATTCTCAGCGATAAATAATGTGCCCAGCTTGATGGCACTTGCTGTTTTTATATCGGAAGTTCTTGTCAATTTCAGACAAACGCACGCACGCACACGCTGTATGCACCCATGAACACAACACACGTGAGCACAAAAGCAAGCACACGCACACGCACACGCACACGCACACGCACGCACACACACACACACACACATACACATACACACACACGCACACGCACACGCACACGCACACGCACACGCACACGCACACGCACACACACACACACACACACACACACACACACACACACACACACACACACACACACACACACACACACACACACACACACATAGCACCTGTACCATAGTTCTGCTGGCCATATCTCATCACAGTGAGGTAGCGATCTAATTGGAAACTGTGGAATGTCTTCATTTATGTTTCTCGATTAAATTATTTCTTGATTATTGTTTTTCTTTTTAGTATAATCTTATTTTTTTCTTTACTTTTATCTTCTCTTCTATACGACTGTGTGAGCAAGAAAGGGATCCATTTACTTACATGAGTGTGTGTTTTTGCGCACGTATTTGTGCGCAAAAATGCCTTGCTTCTTCTCTATTTACGGCCGTCACCCTGGAATAACTCCGAGAGAGAAAATATTGAATGAAACGTATTTATAATTATACAGTGTGTCTGCATGCGTTAATGGGTGTATTACTGTGCCTTTATTTGTGTTTGAATATGTATTTGAGTGTGTATTCGTGTGTATGTACGCGTGAGTGATTCTGTTTGTAGTTTTAAATGGAAGATTGCACCGTTATAATGAATAGATTTTCCATTTCATAATTGGAGAACTTTTCGATGAAATCTAATTCTTTCATCTACTTAGGTATGCATTTATTCATAGATTTCGTCTCCTGAACTTAAGAAGTGACATTCCTTGATAAAGGAAATATTTAGAAGACGAAGAATTAACGGAATACAGGGAAATGATGGTATCAAAAGATAAAAACAGCAGTAGAAAAAATAATGGAATATAAAACAAGAAATTAAATAGAAAGAGAAAAGAGGGTTTAATTAATCAAATAAAAAAAAAAAAAAAATAAATAAAAAAGAAAAGAGAGTTCATTCAAACAAATGAAATGAAAAACTAAGAAAACAAAAGCGAATCGAGACGTTTTGAGTACTACTGGATCCCTTGTTGCTGTTAATTTTTTTTTGTACACTTTCTACTTCGTTCGTTCATAAATGTGTCCGTACTGAAGGAGACGAAAAGAATAAAGGAACATTATCTTATCATTATATTTTATATATTTCGTAAAACAGAATTTTGGCGAGTTCACATCACAGGTAAAGAGCTAAAAGAATATATATTACAAAAGGAAAAAAAAATAAGAATAAAAGTTATCAACAGCTTTCATGCCGAACAGATCTCATGATATTGTTTCAGAGTATTCCAGTCTCAGCAAATCTAATTCTACTGTAAAAGGAGTTCGACCCTTCATGTATCTATTCAAATACTAAATGTAAATGGTATCTTGCGTGTCTTCTTTTTGCTTGTTTGATAATGTCTATAATGATTTGGGTTTGTGGATTTTCGGTAATATTTCGGCAGTTTTGCGTATTTTTTTGCGTTTTTCGCTAAAAGTCTTGTTCTATGATGATGATAAAAGTAGTGATAATAAATGCGATAATGATAATTGTGATAACATTACTGATAGTAGAAATAATAATGGTAATGATAATAATGATGATTATAAAAATAATCATAATAATCATAATAGTAGTAGCTTTAATGATAATCAGAATAATAACAATGATAATAGTAATGATAATGATAATAATGATGATTATGTTAATAAAAATGGTGATAAAAGTGACGTTAATGATAAACTGATGATAATAACAACAAAAATGGTGATGATAGTAATAATGAAAATGATGATAATAATTCCAATAATAATAATGATAGCAATGATAATGATAATAATATTGGCAGTAATATTGGTAGTAGTAGTAATAATGATAATAAAGATAATAATGATAGTAATGATAATATTAACAATGATAAAAATGGTAACAAAAATTATGACAATAATAGTAACGATAAAATAATGATAATAGTAATGATGATAATGATAATAATAATGATAGTAATAATAATAACAATAATGATGATAATGATAATGATAATGATGGTAATGGTAATGATGATAATGAATATAATATTAATGGTGAAAATAAATAATGATACAATCACTGGTAATGATAATGATAAAAAAATAATAACAATGCCATTACTTCTAACGATGATAATAATGATAACGATAATGATATTGGCAATAATAATTACAGTAATACAATAATTATGGTAATAGTAACGATGGTGGCAATAATGATAACAATAACACTAATAAAATGATATTACTAATGATATCATAATGAGGATAAGAATAAGAATAATGATGATAATAGTAATGATGAAAAAATAATAGTAATAATGGTGATTGTAATAACAACAGCAACAATGATCATAATAATGAGGATGGTAATAACGATGATGATAATGACAAGAAAATAATAATGATACCAATGGTAATGATTATAATATTGATAATAATGCTAGA